GTGAACACTTGCTGAATGTCTAATTTGTGTACGGCATGGAAATACTGTAGGTGCACTGTTTCCCAGAACATCAGAGGGACATGCTGTTAGCACAGTATATCTAAGGAATAAAACAACTGTCAATCTGAATTCACTCTGGATAAAACTCAATCCAAGTACATGTGGCTATGGACAGGCAGATAAAATATAATTTGATATAGATTATATTATCATGATGGTTATATTTCAACTTTTTAAGATAGTCCAAAAAAAAAAAGAAAAGTTTTCCACCTGGGGAATGTGCTACAAATAAAGTATTTCCTGACCTCAGAAAGCTGAATAACTTTTTAAATACCCCAGAACATTCGGGTTCTGTTTGAATTAAAATGCAGTTTAATGCACAGAGGATTAGACATGATGATATTGGTACAATTCCAGTGTTCCTGCAAATAAAAGCTTGTTTATGGCTGTAATGTTGAATAAACACAGTTGAACTGTATGTATTAAGTGTTTTTAATACAGGCATCAATCCAAAGACCTGCAACTTGCTCCAGAACTGCAAAATTTCTTACCGAAGACTTTTTTTTTTTTTTAGTGTGTCATGTAGTCTACATGCAGTTGCTCTCACCTGGGGAAAAACCTGAGTCTAGTTATTACCGAAAATGAAGCCCATCACCAAACAAGTATTACCGGTAGAATTCAGTCATGCTTGCCCATTAACAGAGCTTTGTTAAAGTTTTATAATCCTACCGACAACGTCACATTAACTCAGCAGCAACAGAGTTTTTCTGTAGGTCCAGTATCAGCAGCAGTACAAAAACACCTGAAATTTTCTCTCATTGAACATCAAGTCACTGTCACCTCTGATATGTGTCATGGTTACCCTTGCATTTGAAAGATTTATTATTTATTTATTTTTAGAAACCAACTTCATGCAGTCTAAAATATTCCCTCCTAATATCTGACTATCATAGATCATAACTGCTATGACAATATGACTTCAGAAGGTGCACTATAAATACAGTGTACCTTAATGCAACTCATGACACTACTGAACTGTTATCTTTTAGTCTGCTGATTTCTGCTCTCACCTTTTACTCTTAAATGATAGCCTCAAATGGCCATTTTTTGGTTGCTGACTGCATAGTGGAGGAAAATCTCATTAATGAGCACCTCATCATGAACAATTCGCATTTGAATTTTAAAAAGGCAATTGGGGGGGGAGGGGTAAAACCAGCTTCAAATGCTCATGTGACCAAACCTACAAAAAGTCATGATAGAATGCAAAAAGATAGGAATACAGAAATACACGCAATACAATACAAGAGGCCCACCAACTCCAAAAGGAAGGCAAAAAGATTTCTTTGGTACACTGTGACAGTTAACACCAAGGGTCTACAGCTGTGGAAGTAGTTCTGTGAGGTCCTGTCAAGCACATGTAGTGTAGACCCTGGACAGGTCACCAGTCTATCACAGGGCTACACTTAGAGACAGACAACCAAGCACACTCACATTCACACCTACGGACAATTTAGAATCACCAATTAACCTCAACATGTTTTGGACTGTGTGAGGAAGCTGGAGAACCCGGAGAGAACCCACGCTGTGCACTGAACATGTAAATCCATGCAGAAAGATCCCGGGTGTCCTCACCGGGATGAGAACCGACGACCTTCTAGCTGTGAGGCGACAGTGCAAACCACTGAGCCACTTTGCAGCCCCCTGTACTAAACGGTCCCGCATTTTATGATTTCTTTTTAATTGCAGAAGACTAGAAAAGAAATAAAGAAAAATTGGACTGGAAATGTCATACAGTTCAGTTTTTCTAACTTACAATATGGTCTGTTTATGAATGCGACACGGTAGAACTTCTCATGTCACACAATAAAACAAGCATGATTTTCACACTTTTTAAGTTTAGCATCATTCCTTCAGTTAAAACTGAGAGAAATCAGTATGTGCATTACGGAGAAAAAACAAACATGCAAAAGGCTTCTCAAACAAGGTTGCCCTACTTCTTACATCAGTCGCCATGTCACAAGACAAAGTGACAATAGCTCTGTTGTGACATTGTTTGGTCTCTTTCGTGCAATGAAGGTGTTGCAGTGCATTGAATCACACCGCAGAACCAATGCAGAACTTCTGCCTGTAGAAGTTTGCTTCAAAATGTTAACCCGTGAATCCTAGACAGAGACATGAATTGCCATAACTGTAATATTTAGGTGTTTTTTTTCTGAGTATTTATCAATAACTTTTCATCATTAGTTAATAAATGTAGGAATTTCACAAGCTATTTTCTTTTCTTTCTTTATTTCTTTCTTTCTTTCTTTCTTTCTTTTAATTACAAGGTATCTCAAATTCAGTCATGAGGATGGATCTGGCAGTCTGATTAAAGCTGGAAAAGACAAAATCTCATGCTAGTTTTGATGACCATAACCAGGGTTGTAGTAATGAGGGGAACAGTGGAATAGGTGTCCAAGGCCCTAAGATGTAGAGAACAATCAAAAAGCCTGCATATCAAAGGTTTGTTTTGATGTGGAATGCAGAAAATTGGAATTAAAAGCTGTTAGTGATGGTACACCCAATGCAGGCAACACACAGCATCAACCTTTCAAAGGAGCAGTATGGTAGTGTTGTTCAGAAACCTTGCTTCACCATGTTATAGACAACACTAAACCTCGTTGGGTGGCACTCCTATCCGAGAGGACACTTTCAGTTTTTTTGACCAAAGCATGAACAATAAAAGCATTGAGAGTACTTTGTTCTGGTTCAACTCAGTACAGGCTGGGTGAAAATTCTCCCTCAGTATCTGGAAAGGCATCTGCCTACTCGAGATCAAATTTGACAAACTATACATCATATGAAAACACAATGACTGTACATCCAAATGCCATTTTTGAAAATATTAAATGCATTGAAACATTGAATCATTGTCAATACATTTGCTTCATAGTCCAATACTGCTACTATTGTTGGCTGAAAGCAAGATATTTATTGTATCCTAAACAATTATATGGCTTCTCAGGGGGCTCTCTTCTCCTCTGAAAGGTGCACTTGTCATAGTCCACTCTATTCGCAAAAATGCAGTGCTGTGTTAATGCTAATGCTAAAGAGTTAAGGATCTTCCATCCATCCATTATCTATACATCGCTTAATCCTCACCAGGGTTGCGGGGGGCTGGAGTCTATCCCAGCTGACTTAGGGTGAAGGCAGGGGACACCCTGGACAGGTCACCAGTCTATCACAGGGCTACACTTAGAGACAGACAACCAAGCACACTCACATTCACACCTACAGACAATTTAGAATCACCAATTAACCTCAACATGTTTTTGGACTGTGGGAGGAAGTCGGAGAACCCGGAGAGAACCCATGCTGCCGGGGAGAACATGCAAACTCCATGCAGAACGATCCCGGGTGTCCTTACAGGGACACGAAGCAGCGACCTTCTTGCTGCAAGGCAACTGTGCTAACCACCAAGCCACCTTGAAGCCCTTGTTATGGAGAAACAGTAGTTCAAAAGTCCTCACGTTCTAAAATATGTGACGAAAAAAGAACCTTCAAATACTTCATAATGAAAGTAATTACTTCATGTTAAGAAAATGTAATATGTATTCATGCACATTGTGTCTGATTTGCCTAACCACAGCAGATTCATTCATTAAGTTTTTGTTTTGTTTTGTTGTAGATGCATGACAGTAGATATATTAAAGCACTAGTAGTAGTGGAAGAAACTAAGCATAGTTACAGCAAAACCTTTTCTTGTAATTGAGTACATCTACTCTGTGATATTGCTATATTTACTAAAGGATCTTCGTACATGACTACCTGGAAGAGTTGACACACTTGTATTTTTATCAGGGTCGGCTTAAACAATGTTAAAACATTTTCATGACAAATATAGTTTAATAGTTCAAAGGCAAAACATTGACGCAAATAAGAACATACAACCAGTGTCTCTTTATGTACAACTCCATCGTTGTTCTGGTTTTTGCAAAACTTTGAAAGACTGTGTGAACACAACACATACTGCAACTGTGCCCACAGTTTGGAGAAGTACTACACACAAAAATAGGCTTTTGCAACCCTGCAACCCTGTGATTTTAACCTCACAGCGGTTGAGTAAATGTGCCAACTGTGAAACAGAATAAAATCCATTTATCTTTGCATTATTTTTCTAAGAGTACCAAAGAGTCAGTAAAAACAACAAAGCAGTTGTCATGTTGGGAGAAGAAAAGCATTTCCTTAATCTGCCATCTGAAAAACACTTTCATTAATGGCTTATGATTAATAATTGGTTTGTTACCCATTATTACACCCATAATTCTAACATCAATAGTTTAAAATAAATGCTTGCTGCAAAGCTGAACATGCAATCTGTCTGTCTTCTCCCACGTGCCACTGCTCCTGCTTTTGCAAGACTGTGTGTAAACCAAACACATACTGCAACCGTCCACTCAATTTGCAGAAGTATTAGATACACAAAATAAGCTTTTGCAACTCTGCACCTCTGATTTTAACCTCACAGAGTTTGTGTAAATGTCTAAAGTATGATGTGAAACCGAATGGAAATGCAGACTCATTATCTTTTTTATCAGTATTAAGATACATTGTTTACAGGATGTGCCATGTAGTTGTCCTTTGTTTTTATTAATATGAATACAAAGTAAAAAAATAAATTATTTCATCACAACACAAACCTGAAATGCTGTAATAGCAACACTACAGAAATACAGTGCTGGCATACAGTTTTAGCCTCACATTCAATTGCAAAATACTAATATATTTTATAATGATAAATTGTTCAGGTTAAAATACAGCTGTGAATATTGGAAAGCAACAAAATAAAGTTGGCAATCACTGCCATTGAAATATATTTCAATGTGCTGATGCCACAGCTCCTTTTAAGCAATAACTGTCACTTCCAGTTGAGTCAATAAGTCTTTCTGAGCTGTAGGCCATATTAGGATGAAAGTCAGTTGGCTTTTCCACCTATATAAGCTGGAACACCGCAGGTGCTTTCTTGGCCTGCTGCTGCTGTCCAATAACAAACCATGATCCTCCAGACTGCTGTGCTCAGTGCGCTCCTCTGCTCTGTCCACACTTTTACTTTACAGGTAACGCCAGCACACACTTTGCATTAATATGAACATTTTATCTGTGTCTAATTCAATAAAGATGTAATATTGTGTAGGGCATTTGGAAATGGAATACAGTGATTCCTTCAAACATACAATGGTCATCAGTTAAAGAGTAATTTATCAAGAACTTAACAACTACCAGGGGAACTTTTTCTCCTTTAGTAACCCTCTATCATTTTATAGTTGTAGTTTTCAGATTGTGTTGCATCTTCAATGTCCATCCTAATTGATTTACATCCAAATGTGGAAGAAATTGCTACAGTTTATGCCTTCACTTCTTTAATTTCAGACCTCATTTGAAAAGAATGAGGAAAACTTAGGTAAGACTACTTTTTATACTGTCAAACCATATTCGATATTAAAATTCACTGTGATATCTGCTTTGGCTATATTATTTTTCATTGTGTTCAAGAAAATATCCATAATTCATATTCATATTCATATCTGTAATTATTTATTGAGTGACTGTTTTGTGTGAATATTTCAACAAATAATACAGTATTGGACGCATTGGAATGTATATATTCTAAAAAGATTTTTAACTTTAACTTTTTAAAACTTTATTTATTGGAGTTGCTCCATATTTGTATTGTATTTGTATTGTCTTTGTGTTTTTGAAACTTGAATTTTCTTATCCTATTTTATCTTGTTTTTTTCATACACTAAAATGCTGATCATTTTTGATAAATCCTTCATCACCCTAAAACCTAAAACTGTGTCTATTCCACAGGCAACACCATTGAAGATGATGATTTCAGTATCTCCACACTGTTAGAGAAGGCCAATGCTAATGTTGGTATGTACTGCATCTCCTTTATCCATTCCCTTTGTGAAATTATCATGCCAGCAGTAAATGTGACTGAGAACAAGAGACACATATTCAAACTTAAAAACATAGCTGATGTATTCATTAAAGAATTGAAAGGGACATGAAGTAAAGACATTTTCCTCATGATATTTTGCAGGAAAGAACTTTGATGACCCTCTGGTGTTGTTCGGAGACATAGCAGTGCCAACAGGTCTACAGAACGCTGATCCCTGCACTGCTCGAGGCTGCCTTTGGCCTAAAGCCACCGATGGAAACGTCTATGTACCTTACCGCATCTCCAACCAGTACTGTAAGTCTAAACAAGCCTGTTATTTTGGTTCTCTGTCAGTAAATATAGTTTTCAGTTGAACTCACCTATATCACATGCTGTTTAAGAATGTCTCCCACACAATGCATGAGACAGAGTCACAACCCCAGGGAAAAAGAGCCTGAAAGAAAATGAGCCTAAAACATGAAAATCTTGAGTTGAAGAACCACATTGATTCAACAACTCATCTATTAGACACATATTTATACTCATCTGTCAGAATTATAACAGTGCAATAAACGCTTCTGTAAAATTACAGTAAAACATTTTCAGATTTGGTTGCATTATTTCTCTGTATTTTTAAAGATAATTACCAGATAATTGATTAAAGTACTTTAAAGCAATGTGTGGTTTACTGTTTGATGCTGTGACTAGACTTTCCAGTAATATACTGTATTCATATAGTGTTGCTCTAACTCTAACTGGAGTTACCTGTAAATTACAACATTTTCCAGTTTAACATGTACAAACACTACTGTGAATTGCAGACATTTATCACAAATGACAATGTGTCTTTAATCTTTATGACCCAAGCTTGAGCTCTACCAGCTCTTTTTTAACCATTAAAAATGCATATACCACAAAAGATTAGGGCAGGTCTCATTGCAATGGATTTGGAACAGTATTCATGGGCAGCGATGTTTGACAAATTGTAGTAATTTATGGTAGTGAAGACTAGTGGAAACAGTGGGTTTAGATAAGACCTGACAAGTATCGTAATCGTAGTATTAGCAGTGGCAGGGTTTCGCTGCTAAGTCTCCTTTTAATATGATGGAAAAATTAATTAGAAAATTACAACCATATTTTTATGGTTTACGGTAATTTTTTTTGCTGTCAAGCCCGAAGAGAAAGAAACGAAATCATCCAAGGTCTGCGCTCATTTGCACCCTCCACCTGCATCCGCTTCACGCCCCTGAACGGACAGAGCGACTTTGTGGATATCCAGTCTCGCTCAGGGTAAGAACCTCACACAGAGTATCTGCATAAATGAAACATAGCTAATGTAGTGGCTGGTCAGCCGGCAGACATCAAGAGACTGCTGAGACTCACTGCCAGGTAACTTTACTTACTGCTCTTTTTCAGATGCTTCTCTTTTGTGGGCCGTCGTGGTCGTGCACAGGTAGTGTCACTGAGTCGCCAGGGCTGTGTTTTCCGACAGATCATCCAACATGAGCTGCTCCATGCCCTGGGCTTTAACCATGAACAGACGCGGTCTGACAGGGACCAGAATGTTCGCATCCTACTGGAGAATGTCATTCCTGGTGGGCCACACACACTTCACCAAGTATTTTTAAATGGTTTTGACTATGCAGAATATAGATCAAGCCTTAACCATGCTTTCGCAAAAGACATAAGCAACAAAAGTCTGGGATTACAATTAATATATTTGACCATTATCACTGACACAGGTGAAATATGTAGGGCAGACGCTGATAAATAAAACCACAACTTGACTTTTGCTTGTTAAAACTGTAAACAATGATCTGCAGTTATCACCAATACCTCTTTTCACTTGCTGAAGTTATTGGCAACTTGACCTAGCCATTGGTCGCCAACATGAGGCAACAGAGACTAAATTTGATTGAGTTGTGTGACTCCGCTGCAGGAATGGAGTTCAACTTCAGGAAAATCGATACGAGGAACCTTGGCACTCCCTATGACTACAACTCTGTCATGCACTATGGAAGGTAACGTCTCTGTTCATTCACTGAAAAAGTTGCAACAGTAGAATTATATATACTAAATAACTCGAAAGACAGGTGGTCTTTTTTCCAGTTCTGTTTTAAAACAATATTCTTATGTACATTCAAAGATTTACTGTTTTCTCTTAATACTGACCATGATGAGAACCCTTTCCTAATGCAAGCCCTGTGCTGAGACAGTGGAAAAAGGCTAAGTGAAGATAATTGTAGCTTTGTGCAGTTAGACAAAGACAAATTGAAAGGGGATCTTCCATAGTATGTCCTTAGTGTACAACAACATTATTTATAGTATTCTAGCATTTCAGTGTTCATCCATCCATTATCTATACACCGCTTAATCCTCACTAGGGTCGCGGGGGGCTGGAGCCTATCCCAGCTGACTCAGGGTGAAGGCAGGAGACACCCTGGACAGGTCACCAGTCTATTACAGGGCTACACTTAGAGACAGACAACCAAGCACACTCGCATTCACACCTACGGACAATTTAGAATCACCAATTAACCTCAACATGTTTTTGGACTGTGGGAGGAAGTCAGAGAACCTGGAGAGAACCCATGCTGCATGGGGACACGAACCTGCAACCTTCTAGCTGCGAGGCAAAGGTGCTAACCACCGACCCACCTTGCAGCCCCCATTTCAATGTCAATACACAAAAAAGGAACAAAGGTTAAAGCAAAGTCTGCAACAGAGATACACAGACACAGTTTGTCTGGTTATACAAAGCATCATCACGAACTGAGGAACCTCTTTATTTTTTTTTTTCATTTTCCATTTTCATTTAAATCATTTGGTCCATGAAACAATAGAAAACAGGAATGCTCATCACAGCATCCAAATCCCCTTGTGTGTGTCCATAAAGATTGAAGATGAGCATACTTGACATTTAACATCTCATTTTCTACTAAAAACCTCACTATATGAACAATATGTGGGTATCCAAACTACTGTCTGTAACATTATTAAGTCCTAGTTAGTTAGAGTTTCTCAGGCATGTATCCTTTTTAATATGTCCATCTTCATCGCTACATAACTTGTTAAGTCTTTGTTCACTGAAGAGATACTCTTTTAAAACATGCCTCAAATCTCTTTGTTGTGAATGGTACTAGATGAATGCTCAAAATCAGGCATCTAGCTGATAACGATATTTTGTTTCAGCAGCTGGACAAGAAAAAAAATGAAGATTAAACTTCTCATTACTTCTGTTTGTTTGAACCACAGGTTTGCCTTCTCTAGAAACAGGCAGCCAACCATAATTCCCATTCCCAATGCGAATGTAACTATCGGGAGAGCCACCCAGATGAGTGCAACTGACATTCTTCGAGTGAATCGTCTTTATCGCTGCAGTACGTAGCTTTTTTTTTTTTTAATAACTAATCTGTTACCTTCCTCCAGGATTTCTGTCAGCAGTAGTAAAATGCTGGATCTACATTTAAACACGTTGGTGAAAGGGTAGGATAAAACAACCACAGATCTGCTGTTAGGGTCCCACCCAGAGTACTTGTGCTGTTCTCTGGAGGGTTCTGCCTTTCCTTCAACATTGCCTGCTCCTCGCTCCTTTCCTCTGTTTTCTCTTGACCTACAACTGCACCCCTTCCTTCTCTCTCCTCGTTGTTCTTGCTCTTCTCTCTCTTTTCTTTCATTTATAGACACACCAACACACTTAGCTAGGCAACCTGTGAGATCACACATATTAATTCACATCGTATTTATTCACCAGTTTTTCAGACTCATCTGAAAATACAGATTTAATTGACTAAACAATAGGGCCGAGTCGCACTAGTTGTTCCTCTGTGAAGTTGGCCTCCCATCTGATCAGAATATTATAAGAAAATGTTTTGTTTGTAAAGGAAAAACCTGTGCTCACACTACTTTTGAGGGATGAATCATTGCCATTTTTAAGTGTCTCCTTCAGCAGCCCACTAACGTCCAAATGACTCCGAAGTAGTGACTCATTTGTTTGTGCATTATGATAATGAACAAAATGCTTACAATCTGAGAATGAATGAAGCAGCAATGTTATTTTTTTACAAAGCTCACAAAAATAATGAATAGGTAAAAAAAATGCAGCAGTTTGATGCAGTCTTTTTGAGTAAAGACAACTTCTAATAAAATTATTTTCAACTACAAATTACACAGAGTTAGCTTTTCTTCTACAATTGCATACATTTTCATTTACCAATCTTAACTGTCTGAAACTATGCCATGCTAGGATACATACTTGAAAAGGAGATTAAGTTATCAAGTCAATTTCAGAAAGTTACCTTGACTTGAATTTAGTTTTAAATCAAGTAGTGCAGAAATTTGAGTTTTGATTCCACACAATATTGGGTACTTGTAGCTACCAATTTTATTACATCAATACAACTCATCAAAATAATGTTTGCAATTTTATAGCAATTTTATAGTTAGGCAATTTAAAAATCTTGAAACCATGTATTTAATCAAGTGGTTGGAATAGATTTCTTGAATTACTTTTTAGAGTGTACAGATAAATAATGTATTGATAAAATACTGAAATAAAAGTCACGTGCTTGAAATGTTATAAATTAATTTCTCCAAAACTTTTTCAGCACAAATGTTTATTTTATATGCACAAATGTAATTTTTAATCCTTTTAATTCTACCCTTGGGTTACCAACCTGATGGATGTTTGTGCAGGTTTTGTTAGTATTCCCTGCAAGCATTAATATTTATCATGACTTTCCAAACTAAAGAACTACCTCCTTGTTTCAGTGTCTGTTATTAGGTACTCTTCCTAAAGACTAATGAACACATATACAATGAGCAAACCCTTCATATGTTCATGTACATAGTAGCAATTCCACGTAGGAAGCATCCATTTATAACTTTTTTCTCATTATTTAATCCCTTGCAGATACAACTGCAGCCATGCGTGCACCAAAGCCTGTGCAAAGAAACCAGGTCTTCTATTAATGCAAGTAAGTGGGTTTTTTTCTAACTATAACTTAACCCTGTATTCCTGTATGTCCCAGTACAACTAAATGTTTTGTTTTCCCAATTACATTTTGTTTCAAAGTAATCTCTGGCTGGATTACGTTCAGAGGCAGCATTTTGCATTGAAGGATAAAAATGTCACATGCATGAACTGCACATAACAGTCAGCTGGAGGTGGCTGGAGTAGGTGATGGGTCTGTATATTGACCACAAGTGACTGTGGTTCACATCCAATTATATTTTACTGATACCTTCAGCCTCAACATATTCGCAACTTCCCAAGTATATCAATTAACAATGTTACATTGATGGAGAACAATCTGGTCACACTGATGTCACCTTCAAACTTTATTTGCTGCTGCCATTTAACTGCACACACACACACACACACACACACACATACATTATGTCTAGTCATATTTATCAGAAATTATGTTCCTTAGCATTTTGCCTGCCAGATACAGACGACAAAAGGTGGATGCAAAAATATGTGTCCATGTTTACCGTTAGTCAGACAGTAAACTATGACATCCAGTATATGTTAACTTAGAAAGGCATTATGAAGTTGCTAGTATGACATTGTACACAATACGACATAGCAGAGAGCATGAGAAATAGACCTACTGACCTCGCCTATATGCATAGCAACAATTATACAAAAAAGCATAGCAATGGCCACAGAGATAGTGGATATGTGATCCTAACTACTGAGTAACAGACGTGTAACTGAACGTCTCAGATCTCTTGCAATATGTGCATGTCAGGGTTTGTGTTTGCACATGCATACATATTCATTCATTATTTTTTTCAATGTTTTCCTTCTGTTTCCAACAGGTAACCAAGAAGTTGCAAAGCCGCTTGACACAGCTTTTATCTACAACCAGAAATGCATCTTGTGTTTCCTTAATGAGCTACAATCAGATTCTTGATTTAGTTAATTTTGATTTTGTGCTTGTCTAAAGAGAAGAGAATAGTACATGCAATGGCACTGTCCAATTAAAATGAATAACTGCTTGCCAGCTTAATGAAATACTAAAAATAAATAAAGTATACATTCATTCTAATCTCAAATCATTGTTTCTGTTTGCCGCCACCCACACAATGATATATATCCATCCATCCATCCATCCATCCATCCATCTATTATCTATACACTGCTTAATCCTCACAAGGGTTGCGGGGGGCTGGATTCATTCCCAGCTGACTTAGGGTGAAGGCAGTGGACACCCTGGACAGGTCACCCCTCTATCACAGGGCTACACTTAGAGACAGACAACCAAGCACACTCACATTCACACCTACAGACAATTTAGAATCACCAATTAACCTCAACATGTTTTTGAACTTTGTGGGAGGAAGCCGGAGAACCCAGAGAGAACCCACGCTGCACAGTGAGAACATGCAAAGTCCATGCAGAAAGATCCCAGGTGTCCTAATCAGGATGCAAACTGGGGATCTTCAAGCTGTGAGGCCATAGTGCTAACTGTGGAGCCACCATGCATTTTTTTTTTTTCTTTTACCGCAAAAGGTCTGTGACAGTCACACAATTATTATTCAAGTAGAAGCAGATCAGCAGATATCATAGTAGATCTTCAAAGGTGATCAGCAATACTCACATTTTCTATGGAATCAAATCAGGCTCATCCGATTTTGAATTTTAAAGCTGTTGAATTTCTAACTTAGAATTTTGTTGCCATTGAAATTGTGTATGTGAATTATTTTGTCTGAATTTAGCCCATCTAAATTTCAATAAGTCAAAATTTCAGTGTAAAAATTCGAAGCCAAGAAAATTCGACGGTGCTCAAATTCAACAGGTCAAATTGGACAGGTTCAAAATTCGCTGTGAAAAAGTCACTTTTCACATCCGGGGACTTAGACGTAAACAATGGATTCTGGCCGAAGTTGATCCAACGCCCAGCCAATCAAATTACGCTCCTCTGGTCATGTGACGCACACGGTTGAACGCAGAGGATGACGGTCATTAGCCATGGTGGCAACCAGCGGTAACGGCGGGGCTTCAGTGAGTATGTTAACCCTTTATTTGCCTTCTGTGTGGTTTGTTTTTTGAGAGTCAGTAACCGGTAATGCAGGACACGTTTCTTATTGGATAATATCCCTGAGGAGCTTTTAACGATTTGCACTGGTAACAGTTTAGCTAGCACGGCTAAAGTTGCGCCAGCTTTAAATGAAGGTTTATTCTACTGAGTACAGAGGCACTACATGTGAGTTTATGTCAAGGTCTGACTGACAAAAAACAGTAAGAACGCCACACTGACAGCACGTTCAGCAGCTGGGGACCTGAATAACAATTTTACAAGCACACAAATGGATATGTAGAGGTTGTGTGATGGATGCGCCAGAAAATGCAGTTAAGACATCGTGTACAGAACCTGGTAACCCAGCAAACTAAACTAGGCTATGCAACACTTTGTTTATTAAGTGCGTTTTCTGCTCTGGTTAATGTTTTGGTTTGTTTCATTGCAAATTAATGTTGTTATTGAAAGGTTTTTAACTATGTAGTCAAACTCAATACAACGGTGAGCAAACAGCTTGAAATGAACTGCCCTGGAGGGCTCTGGTCACAGCTGACCATTCAAGATTCAAGGCCTTTATTTATCACACACACAATTTTACACAGTGTAACGCACAGTGAAACTTATTATGCACCCGTTCCAGACTGAAACAATAATAATAAGAAGAAAGAATAAAATACACAAGAAATAGATAGATAGAAAGATAGATAGATAGATAGATAGATAGATAGATAGATAGAAATGAGCAAAATAAATAAATTAAAGTGTCACTTCTTTCCATACCAGGTTATAAAAGGAGTTATTGTGCAATGATTGTGATTTCAACTGTTACCTGTTTAGTATGTGTACCTTCCTAAAATCTGTTCCAACTTAAGCGTCTAATGTCACAGTCCAGTCTTTCAGTCAAGTCAGTGGTAGTTTGCATGATATAACTTTTTTTTTTTCTTCTGTTCTAGGAAGTATTGCTAAATCATCTGTTTGGAAGTTTAGAAGACGTTGTTCTCGTTTGGAGCATGTTATGGGACGCATACCTCTGGATCTGGACTTCTTAGCGTTCACCTGCACTCAAGAACTTGTGTTTTTAAATGCTTTATTCAGTCAAGTTTTGTGTGTGTGTGTGTGTGTATGTATATATATGTGTGTGACCAATCTGCACGAAATCAGTCACATTGTGCCTCAGGCTATCTGAGATACAGCCTGAATTACGCTAACACGTGATGAAATATTGATTTTGAGTTTTTTACTTAGATCGATTGATTTAGTTGTTTTCTAAATGTCTGTAACATATTGTTACACACCATAGTAATGTAACGTTCCATATCAGTGTCAAATACTGTTAGCGTGCATGAGCGGCAACACCAGAAAGAAGCTGCAGAAATCACTTGCGCGCAGGCACCATGAGCAATGTGTCATTGCCAGCCAATCCTGTCCCATGATTTGCGTCATGTGGTAGCAACATGCTGCTTTTGTTTACGCATAGTAGCCTATCGTGTCAAGGTGCAGTGCGACTGTTTTCGTGCTGATGATCACATGTATGTATACACACAAGCTGAGATTGGCTGTTCTGTAACATTGCAAAGCACT